CCCATAACTCCCTGTGCCCCCTACACCTCCTTTACCCCATCCTCCTCTGTGCCCACTCCACCCCTATGCTCTTATAGCACCCTATAGCTCCCTGAGCCCCCAATACCTCCATCCCCCATACCTGTGTCACCCTATAACTCCCTGCAGCCTCATATGTCTCTGTACCCCCCCCATACCCCTACGTGCCCTGGCACCCTGCCCCTCCCTCCTATAGCTGCCCAGCTGGGGACACCAGTGGGGTGGTGGGGGGTGATAGGACAGAGAGCACCCCAAGAACGAGCCCCTTTCCTGCTGGGTGCCTGGTGGGTACCAGAGGTCCCTCACCTATTTTGGGTGGGCACCCAGTGGGCACATGGGGTCCCTTGCCCTGTTTGGGATGCCAATGGGGGGGACCCAGTGGGTATGGGGGGGTCCCTCGTGCCTCACCCTGCCCAATGGGGGGCACCCAGTGGGCGGGGGGGTCCCTTGCCCTGTTTGGGATGACAATGGGGGGCACCCAGTGGGCATGTGGGGACCCTTGACCTGTCTGTGGTGCCGGTGGGGTCCCCTGCAGTGTGCAGACGGGGGCTGGCTGGCACGCCCCCCCCATGCCATGCCCACATGCTCCCCTCTCTGCCCCAGGGCCCCCTCATCTTCCTCTTCTGCGTGGTGCTGAGCAAGGAGGTGCGGCGGAGCCTGCGGCTCAGCTGCACCCGCAGGCGCAGCCCCGACCCCGCGCTGGCCACCAAATCCACCCTGACCCCCGTGAGTGCTGGGAGGGATTGGGATAGGGCAGGGGCCGGGGGGGGGGGAGGGGCAGCTACCCCCCATGGCCATGATGTCCCCGTCCCCGTGGCAGGCCTATGGCTGTGACAGCACCTACGTGGCGGGGCGGCTGTACCCAGCACCCACCGGCGGCTCCACTGGCTCCCTGCACAGCACCGCACGCTCTGGCAAGAGCCACCACAGCTACATCCCCTTCGTGCGCCGGTAACCCCACCGGGACGATGACATCGGGGGGAGGGAGGAGGTGGCGGGGTGGTGGGGGTGGCACGGCAGCGCAGTGGCAGGGTGGCATTGGGGTGGCAAGATGGCAGGGCAATGGGTTGGTGGTGTTGCAGCGTGGTGGCAGGGTTGGGGGGGTGATGGGATGGGTGAGGGGGTGACACGACAGTAGGGGAGCATGATGGGGGGGTGGCAGGGCTGTGGGGTGAGGGGGTCATGGGGA